TTTTAAAAATAATTGAGTTTGTGTTTGATATCTACAGTTATGGGAACTGAAGATGATGCAAGCTGGAGCAATCTTGGGTCCCATTGATAGGTCTGCGATGCAGAAGGGTGCGGCGGGTGGTCCAATCACGCCTAATCCCGTGCATGACCTCAACGTACCGTATGAGGGCACGGAGGAGTATGAGACTCCCACTGCTGATATGCTCTTTCCTCCGGTGAGAGATCATTTTTTTTTCTCATTGTCTTCCCGCAGTTTTTAATATTGGCTCCATTTGGAAGTGCTTTTGTGGTCCTTGTTTATATATTTTTTTCATTTTGGGCGTGTGTAGACTCCTTTGCAAACCCATTTTGGAATATTGGCTCCATTTGTACGTGTTTTTGTGGTCCTTGTTTATATATTTTTTCATTTTGGTTGCGTGCAGACTCCTCTGCAGACCCCTATGCAAACGCCTTTGCCCGGACCTGCGCAGACGCCGTTGCCTGGGACAGCGCAGACACCACTGCCTGGAACCGCTCAAACTCCTCTCCCAGGAAGTGATAGTGGTTCTTTGTACAATATTCCAACTGGTGGTACCCCAATCACCCCTAATGAGTATACATCTACTAATGAAAATGGTGGTGTCCCTGAGATGAAAGTTGGGACAGGACGACCTAGTCCTTTTATGGTATGACTGTTTCACCTTTTTTCTTATCGCCTGTTCTTTTAGATTTAAGTCAATAAAATTTGGTCAGATTTATTGTTTTTGTTATCAATTTTGCTATTTTGTCGGTTGTGAAATTATTTGCTTATTTACGGAATATCTGAGTTGAGTCATGGGGAATATCTGCAATGTCATTTCATTTTGGTAGGTGGAAAAATTGATTTCTTTTTATTGTATTTCTTCTTTTCTTCTTCTGCAGCAGCCACCTTCACCTTGGCTAAATCAAAGGCCTTCTCTTGATGTGAATGTTGGTGAGTATGACCTTACAGGTCTTTTACACGAGACTATGAAACCGTATGTTCATAAGGATGGAAGTAGTGTGTAAATAACGACGTCAACTAGGCCAGTGCAGTTTATTAATGTCTCATACCATGCAATAATTCTTGTTGCAGCATATGTGGAAGGTCGGGAAGAGGGTGAGCGGGCAGCACCTAATCAGCCAGCAACTCAGGTATTGTCAATCATCTGTAAGATAGAGTGAGTTCTGCGTAAATGACAGTCAACCACCTAGCCGCATTATTTCTTCCTCTTGAGAAATAAGAAAACAAAAAGGAACGTGGATATTGAGGTAGTACTTGAATATGTTAGCTCTGTGTGTGAAATGTCTTGCAAAGTGATTTTCTATTCAAGGTTAGCCATAAAGGACTTCACTCACTGTCACTTTTTATCTTATCAGTCATAAATACACTCTCTTTGAGAGAGAACAAACAATTCTCATACATTTCCACATGAATTCAAGTATTCAGCCACTCATGTTTCTCTTACTCTTAGTGAAAGCCAATCATTGTTTATTATTTTATTTCATGAAAATTTTCATCATGACATATTTATCCCAAATCAATCACACTATCTGAATTCATACCTTTTACTTTCTAATTTCTATAACCTTCCACAACAATATTCCAGCAAACCTTATATTCCTTTATTTTCTTGGGGGTTGGGCAATCATCAGGACCTTGTTGATATAAACTTGTGGAAAGCAGTATAAATTAGTGAGGCTTTGGCCAATTATCACCCAATATTGAATTTTAGTATTGCATCAGATATATAGCTATAACTATATTCTATAGTCCTAGGAATATTTCATATTTGTGAAAACTACATTTGTATTGTCTGTTCCTGGTAAAAGTCTGCAGTCTGCACTGTGACCCTTACATCAGATCATTGAAATTTCTTGTTTACCCTGAAAGTTATGACTCAATGATGCACATACTAATTTTGCAGGTTTTGGATACAATTATTAAAAGATGGTGTGAACAGGATATTATGTTTTATGCTTTAACTAAAGTCTAATTGTTTACGTCCTTTATTATGTGACAAATATGATCTGAAGTACCAAACAATCTACCGGACATTGAAATATATGGTTATTGACATATTGTTGTGAATTAAGTGTTTCTTTTCATACAAAAATGTACAGTTTTTATCTCACTCAACCATTGCTGCATTTGTGGATGCCATATAGAATAATATTATTGTTGGTACTAATAGTTACAAATTATTTCCTTCGATTGAAGAGAAGAAATCGTCAGGCTTGCACAGATGAAAATGAAAATTGCTCACTTTTTTACTAACCAGCTAAAATAACACTTCCTAGATTTGTAACACCGTATTCGGCTCCAGCCAGTTTCTTGGGTGGGCTTCAGTTAAAATATAGTTTCGTGACATTTTCCTTGAGAATCTTGCATCTCTAGATACCATTATATAAAGTATTAAACTATAATATTTGAAATAATGGATAAAGCTGCTAGATGAGTCTGTGAGAACATGTTTTTTATTGTTATTATTTAGATCAAAGTACTTGGCCTAGTAAATGATTTCAGAACTAGTTGGTTGATTCTTATCATTTTCCCTTCACTTTTATGTTTGCTGACTCAGCTTGAACAGTAATTCTTTTCATGTCAACTTTCACAATAATGTATTCTTTCAGTAACAAGGATGCCTTGTTTTACGTTTTCCGAGAGCTAATAAGACCTTTTTTTTACGTTTCTTTAAAGATTGCCCTTGTTAGCTAAAGTTTATCAGAAAAGGAATGTGAACAATTTTTTTGTCAATATTTTGGATTTAATAATTAATAGATAGAAATGAAAACTTTTCTATACATAATTAACTCCATAAGTAAAGATATTATCGTGGCTGACTTTGTAGAAAGTATTAAGCACTTTTGAATTTTAGTCGTTGCCTCAATTTATTGCTGAAATTTTTTGGGTCATAGAAAAATGAAAATAACCTATTGGGTAGAAGGGTATAACGTTCACCGAATATTGACTACATTTTATGGAAAGCTTTTGAGGGGAAAAAGAGGAGAAAATGAAACATCCCTGAAAGGGCTATTTTCTTATGGTTCCTATGGAACCAATTTATAATTGTGTTTCACCCAGTAATAGACATAATGGTGAATATAAACACAGGAATTCTTTATGCCTTTTGGAAAGAGAAAACGAGATGATATCCCTCCGCAATACCATGCTGGTGGGTACATCCCCCAGCAAGATGGAGCTGGTGACATTTTGCCAGATGAATTGAAGGTAGATATTTTCAATGAATAAGTCATGGCTAGCGTAATGCACTCATTTATTTGTTTTGACGTAAAATTGCATGTCTGCATCCTGCTGAACATGTGTACTAGTGACCTCCATTTGCTAATTCAGGATAATTGCTTGATCGGCTGTAGGTTGTCTTATTGATTACTTAATTACATGTAAATTGTGAAGGCACTTCTAAGTTTTAATGCCTAAAATGCATGTGTTCCAGGAAACCAAGTTACTGTTTTTTGTTATTTCAATAAAGAAGCACTTAAATACTTAAAAAAGGTACCATAAATAAAAAATAAAGATAGAGGAGAAATGATGGATGGAAAGTTACACTTTCTGATTTCAGATTCCCTTTGGTATATCTACTTTTTCAATTGGTAATTATCTTTGGAATATTCAAATGGTCTGCTTCCTGTTTAATATCCAAGGTTATACAATAAAAATAGAATATGGCTATGTAGTTTGATAATTTGAAGTACAAATGTTTTTTTAGAAGGTTTTGAAAGGTAAGCTTTAGCTTTTAGGTTCAGAAAATCATAATTATACTGCAACCAGTATGGAGAATTCCAACCATTTCTAAAAAATTGGAAATAACCATTATAACATAATAAATTCCTATCAAAAAATGATGCATGGCATCTGACTCTAATGAAAGAGTAATGACTTAAAATATGAAAAAAAAAATAACTAGAGGAAATGAAATAAAAGGTATAATCACATGTTCAATTTTGTTTTTGGTCTAAACTTAAGATGATAAAATGGTTGTATAAACTTAGTTATACATGGAGAAAGGTCTCACCAAAGCACAAGGCTTCCTAGAGCTTGGAAGGGGAGGCGTGCCTAGTACTCTCCTGAGATGCAAAATTGCAAATATTAAGTAATCAACGTTTGCTTTTAGATTACAAACTAGAAAATAAACAATGATTGCTTACATTTTTTGACCACATAATTCATTGACATCCATTATAGCAAAGTTCGCATCAAGGAAAATTGACTGAAAGGTGTAATGGTTTAGTGATTGTCTGGTGTGAAACAACAGAGGCCAGTCACATATGCATTATGTCAATTTAAATGTCATCTATTATGTTCATGTAGCATGACTAACAACTATAGTGATCTAATTACAATTATGAGCTACTGTAGTGTATTAGCATGTCACCTGGCACTCATGGCGTCTGATTTATTGACGCAGGTTTAAAATGTATTTGTTTGCGTGATATATGTGACCACCAGCTGTCACACAGCAGTTGTGACAGCTGGTGGTTCCTTAAAGTACAGCTAAAATTCCTAGTTGCTTATTATGTTGTTTTCTTGTCTGTATCTATGCATGCCTTCATCACATCATGTTTGAAGGTACTTTAGGTTGCGGGCCATGGCTCTGTCAACTATAAGTTCTATATATTCATGGGTCCCGATTATATTTGTAATTGTCGTTTTTTCATGTGAATTCTCTCTAACATGTTTCATCTACCCACTGGTTACTTTAGTTGTGCTATATTATCTTCCCCGAGCTTCATTCGTAGTTAAACATTACAAAATAGAAACTAGTAATGCCTCATGCCACTCTTTGACGAGCTCTAGTATATTGAAAACCTATAGTAATTTATAGGTGTTAGTGTCTGGTAGGTAATCCTATGTTTTCTTTCTTGCTTTTGGAGTTTCTTGCCTATTTTATGGGTTGTTAAATATTTTCCAATGACCTGTGTTATGCGAATTCTCTACTCACTGCAGCTTCACATACTTCTAATTGTGATGTGACAGGTGACCCAAGGGGATGACCAGCAAATGTTTGGTCAAGCGGGGACACTGTCTTCTAGAATACCTCAGTTGGATGGCCCAATACCTGATCCATATGATGACGTGCTTTCAACACCCAATGTGAGTTCTCCTCCCGTGTTCTTGCAGTATGCCGATAACGTACAAGCAGACAAGTTGTGAGACTTGTCTTCTGTAATAGCATCACAAATTGTATTTACTGGTTTTTTATTCATACTCAACTTCATAGGGTTGGGTACGGTAACTTTTAGGGTTGGGTGGGTTGTGTCTTCCTATAGTCCCTATGCATTCTGGGCTTGTCTTTACTGTTTATTTTTAGCTGATCTGACTAATTAACCGGAAGATTGTAATTAAGAAAATTAATGCACTTATATGTCATATATGTCCTGTTTTCTACTTGCAAGATTTTCATTTTCAGTTTGGATCCTTTATCGTCATGAGTGTGTCATCTATCTCTAGCCTTCTTTCCGTTCAACTTCATAATGAAGCTTCTGTGTTTTCATTTTGACGCGTCTCTAGTACTAGGTGATCTGTAACTTTTGGAAACAAGTGTCATAATCATTCTGTGGTATTTATCATCTTTTGGATATTCTTATAGCCATTCATATATATATTTATGTTTTCTCTAGATCCCTCATGATGTTCCTTTCTTGGCATGCATTCTAAAAATCTTGGAGGTGATTTGGCAAGAAACATTTTTTTAGTTTTCAGTATACGTCAAATAAGCTATCACCTTCATTCGTTACAGACACCTTATATTTCTAGTCATGTTTAAAAAACTTGAGATGAATCTACTGTATCTTAATGGCACGAAGCCCTTATTAACTGCGTGGCTTGGTTTTCATGGCCTTGTAATGTTGGTCAATAAAAATTTAAAATGCTAATGGGAAATTTCTCAGATTTGTCAATGAAATATTGATGTTCTAGAACAATCTGCATTACCTGGGTTTTAAGGTTCCAATGATATTATGCATTCATATTGTGTTGGTGCTAAAACTTGACAACACCGTTAATCAATTGGCACTTCGAGTACCTTTCTCCACTTGATTATGACCTACTGTGTAGTCTCCCTTAATTTGTTATTCGTATAACTCAATTATACAAATTTTGCTGTCTTTTACTGCACCCTATTATCTAACTTGTTCCTTGCATTCTTACCTTGATAGATATACAATTATCAAGGAGTTGTCAATGAAGATTACAATATAGTGAACACGCCTGTGCCAAATGGTAACCGTGATGATCTAATTTATATCACTTGGTATGTCTTAAAACTGTTTAAAGCTCCGATATTGATTTCCTACAAATCTGCACTGCCAGAGATGCTAGCAGCAACTCCAGCTCCTGTACAGAATGAAATTGGGGATGATGATGAAGATGAACCCTTGAATGAAAATGATGATGATGATTTGGATGATGGAGACCAAGGCGAGGATCTGAATACGTCACATTTGGTTCTGGCTCAATTCGATAAGGTACTAATCTAAGCTTTTTCCTACTTGCTCTTTTTTTCCCCATTTTTTGATTTTTATATTTTTATTTTGTTTTATTTTATTTTTACATTTCTTATTTATCTCAGTCATTGAGATTGAGCTATGGCTATTTATTTTAGGTGACAAGAACCAAGAGCAGGTGGAAGTGCACATTGAAGGATGGCATTATGCACATAAATAACAAAGACATTCTGTTCAACAAGGTACTTCTTTTTTTTT